ATTTGCGATTTTTCCACATGGAATTTGGGTTTGGGTGGGATTTTAAAGACCTGTAGTTTGGACAGCTTGTATAAAGGTGGCATTTTCTAATTTGGGTTCAATTTCCAGATGCTGAACTTAAAATCAAGATCAGTTGAATCGGAAACCAAACATTTCGAAAATTTCGTAGAGACTTGAAAGGTTTTCACTTCTCTCGCCTCAGTTCTAGCCAATTACATCACAAAAAATTTTTAGAATTTCTATTTATATTTTTTAATAAACACCGCACAACAAATCATGTATGTAAAAAAAAAAGTTTTGTATTGTACAAACATATAATGGCGGTAAACAGAAAATGCAAGTTGAAATTGAAAATTTGAGTGTTCTTCGCTTTACTCTGGACAATAAAATTAAAATTTAAAGGCTATTAACAAAATATAGCATATATATCTTCTAATATTTTTAATACGTAAAAGAATAATTATCTCTTTCTAAAATTTCTAATGGTGTAACGGTAATGCTAATATCGCTAACTATACGTATCTATTACCACGTATATAATTAAAAAGATACTATATTATAGCGAAAGTTAATTTATGCTGATTTTAAACAGTATTTATATATCAAAAGTATCTTGTATACTTTTTCGCCACTGATGAACTGTGTTATATTTAACCACAACCATGCCGCTTTGCTCACTGATCCATCACCTGCTTATGAAGATTTTCCTAAGCAAATAATACCTTTCCCTTCAATCGACTGATTTTTTTCCTAAATAAAGAAGTTAATAAAATATATATTTATTTAACGAACATTTTATTATAAAAAATAATACTTTAAGTTCATTTTCAGCTTTAAATAACTGAGGCTGACGAGATTGACGTAGAAACCGAGGTTGGCTAAATTGGTGTAGAAACTGAGGTTGGCGACATTGGTGTAGAAACTGGGATTGACGTAGAAATTGAGGTTGGCGTAAAAAATAATACAGTATATATGAGTGTCGCTAAAAGAAAACCCGAAAATTTAAATATAAGTCATATTTAAATTGTCGGGTTTTCTTTTAGCGACACTCATATGTAAATATTTTGTTATATCACTATTATTGTAGTACTTACAATAAAGTATGCAATAAGCTCAATGCATGATATATTCTACTACCGAATTTTATGAAAATGGCCACTGTGCACTTCGTACTTAACGGCTTTGATTCGAGAATTAATAATACCTGGACCTGGTTGGTCTTTTTGCATTGGTCCATGTGCTATTCCTCCGCAGAAATAAGTATTATTTAAAAGGTTGTAATTTTGGGGTTATTTTCATTGTAGATATATGCGTTGAAATTTCGATCAAAACAAGTAATTGGTCTTTATGTTTGGACACATCCTGAAACCATGTCCATAATAATAGCAAACGTGGCAGGAATCGGTAAATACACAAGAAAGGAATAGCCGGTTCGTTCTTGAGAGCCTTACGTCGCGTTATTTGTATATTGGTTGTCTGTTTTCAATACGGTCAACTGTAAAAAAGTAGACTATGTTAATAGCACGGTAGATAAGTCCTTATAACTTCCAAAGGTATTGAAACATACCGATTATTTGCATCATATAAAATTTCAATGTTTTAGCACGCATCAAGATATTTCTGTAGTTCTTTCTATTAGCTCTTTATTGATATCTTTATTTGTATCCTGCTTGATTGGCCCGCCAGATACTTCGATTGTTGTAAAACACTATGATTCTCCTTGACAGCACCCAACGCGCGTCCACTTTGTAAACCGTCATGTTCTTGTTTGAATTTCAACCAATTGCAATGTGTTTGTTGTCATCATACCTAATAAATTCGAAAATAAATTTAATGAGAAAAGAAAAATTCCAGTCTATATAAAGATGAAACATATCAGTTAAACGTTACCAGCTCAAATATATATTCAATGTGTTTGATGATGCTTGAATGAAGAAATATATGAGTGCGTGAGAGTGAAAACCTGTAATTCGTCCCGTGGGTAATTGTCATGTCATCTAGCCAATCATTAAATCTATTTCCAGGTTTTCACTCTCACGCACTCATATGTTTTAATTTTCTTTCTTTCAATGGTATGACTTTTTGTAATAGTATGTTTTTGTACGGCGAATCATAGTATAACCAGATGCTTGTCTTTTAATGGTATAATTTTTTGTAATAGTATACCCGAATGCATGAATTCCAATAGTATGATTTTTTGTCATAGTGTTTTTGTACGGCGAATCATAGTATAACTTTAAATGGTTATATCATATCAGTTTTTCATCTTCAAACATTAATACGTAACAGTTGTTAGACCCAGTAATTCTCACAATCAGCGCAGCAAGCAACCATTGTAAATAAATAACCAAAAATCGCACCTTTTCCCTTAGAATTTCGTCGGTTTTGTTCAACAGTTTTTACAAACCAATAGTCTAATTGCATTACGGTGGTTGATGAGAACCCTATATACTTTCAAGTTAATGTACCCGAAAGACAGTACGCAAATCATCTTTTTACCTACTAGTACTCTTTAATGGCATGCTTACCTTTTCATAAAATTCATCTGCAGTACTCTATAAACAATCATTGGCTTAAATTCGTAATTCCAAAGTATCATTGCATTATACCGTTGATCACTGTCTCCTAAAAATAATACCTTCGTAATTATGACCTTGTTACTATTGTAGTGTAAGACTGTATTGTGTGAAATAAATCTTTTTCGTCAGGAACGGTCTGTGTGGTGAGTTTGTTAAAAATAAGACATGTGGATCTTTCTTTCATTATTGGGTATCGATGGCATCTTGTTGGCGAATCAGATCTTCTCTTTAAGGTATGCTGATTTGAAGTAATGGCATTTGATAATTCACGCACAGAATAATCTAAGTAGTTGTTTCCTTTAAGCTGTTTATAATCTACTGAATGTAACGTCGGGATGAATTCGGATGAAAAAAGTTTTCTTCAAATGTCAATCGACTATTTTAAAATTAAATTAATTTTAAATAATTTTAAAGCGTGTTTTATGTTTTTATAATGTTACCTTGTTAATTTTAATGTTGAGATACGATATGGTTCTCGATTTAACATTCTCGTTGCTCGTAGTAGTCCGCTTAAACAATAAAATAATTTAACTAGTTGCTATGCTTTCATTGGATCATATATAAGTAAAAGTTAAATTTATAATATCCAATTTCCTGGTGTATGCAATTAAAATCACCACATTGCTAGAAGCTGACCGTACCGTACCGTCAACGACGATTAAACAGAATGCCTGCATAGTCGAGGAAAATTAAATCAACTATTGCAATGTCGTGTCTGCACAAGCTTTTCCCTAAGTTATGAAGCTTTTTTTTATCGATTACCATCAGTTAACATTTGTACGCAGCCGTTTTGTAAAATAAATCCTCATAGGGTTTTTTTCAAAATTTGATCGTTTGAAACAGTTCATGTAAAAGAAAGATAAATATCTCCAGCACTATCTATGACTTTACTATGTAACTGAGTTCCCGTTATGATGAAAGGGTTGTTTTTTGATGTCTTTCACTGGACCTTGCATTTAAGATGAGGGTCTTTATATTAAGATCAAGAACGTATGAGAGAGTTATATAAAAAACCAAAATTTTTATTGAAAAAACACTGTTACACAATTTTGTATTGTTTTTTTATAATAGAATTTTGATCTAAAATAGTCAAAACTATCTAAAAAGTTTATATATTAAAACTTAATACTTCTTTTTATTATAAGTTTATAATTTCACGTGAGCAATTTATGAAACATAGAATGATATTACGAAATTGTTTCGTTAAAAAAAAAAAACTGCGTTTGATAAATTCAGTGATTACTAGGTAAAATTTTCGCGTGAGATATTACGTGACCACCCTAAAAAATTTCGCTGACCAATCAGATTTCAAGTTCCGGTGTAACGCAAAAAAAAGATCAAAACAAATTCAAAAAATCGTTCATAACTCATCATTTAGCTTATGAGATTACCTTCTGCGCACTAACAAAAATTTTTCCTTACGAATTTTACTGTTACTAAATCGCTTTCTAACCTTACTTGAAAACAAACCTGATAATAACCTAAAGCGAAAATTTTTTTAACGAAATTTTTTAAGCTGGTAACGCGGATCTGATCTATTGATTAATCAGTTTATAATTAATATACTAGGCGTTCAAGCTGTTTTGCACGAAATCGCGAGGGAGACAATTGTAAAAAGTTTTTTTTTTTTTTTTTTTTTTTTACGAATTAATTTCGCTATGTTTTACACGAGGACAAAATTTATTTGAGATTTCAAGTAAATTAAAAATTTATATAAAATCTTGCAAGTAAATTTGTTTAAATATTTCTCTATATTTATTAGATAAATTCAAATTGAGTCATACATGACAAGAAAAATCTAATTTTTAATTAAACATTTAAAAGGGATAAAAAAAAAAAAAAAAAAAAAAAAAAAAAAAAAAAAAAAAAGGAAAAATTCAAATTCAAATTTATTATTTGAATTAATTTGTGGCACAGCCTTGTTTTTCAATTTCATTTCGTATATACATTGATATTATTAATAATTCCAACATTCTAAAAATATATTCTATAATAATTATAAATCGTGTTTTGGTTATTTAAAACTATTTGAGTTAAACACGATTTAGATAATACCTATATTAACTGAATGCTTGATAGCATTCTAAAACAAAGGATAAAAAAAAAAAAATCTTCGAAATTCTTCAAACGAATTTATATATGAAAATGGGAAAAGGAAAAAAACTAGAGTAAATATATACCGCATATTAATTAAAATATAAAATTATTAAGTCTATACTCTGGATAAACGAGAAAAAAAAAACAGACAAATCAAAAGATAAAAAAAAAACGAGAAAAAAAAAAAAACCAGAAATCCCTTGAGGAAATTCCTCGAATGGAACTGGGAAAGCGGTATGGGCTTATTGTGATCAAACGCGCTTGAATAGACAAATTGCCGTATATTACATAGATTACTGTACACTACTCCTTGTTGTTACTGTTTCATTGAGTTATAAATACCTCTATTTTTGGCAATATTAATGGATCATAGGGCAAATCAACATCAGGTATTTCTTCCCAATCCATCGTCCATTCTATTGGCATCATACCACCAATAGGGGCTAACACATATTTTGCCAATTCTTTAGAACATCTTATTCGTTCGATCCATTTAACATTGGAATTTAAGGCACGTTTAGCAAGTCGTCCTCCAACAGGATCCCATGTTTCCCAACTTTGGCAACAACGTTTCAACTTTTCAGGCCAACGTTGACATAAACGTTCTTTTTTTAAGAAAAATAGAATATATTAGGATTATGAAAATAATAATTTTTATTGACAAGAGAATAAGTTGTAGTACAACCTTGTATTCTTACTAATCTTTCGACTAATTTAACCAATAAAAAATGAGCAGTAGCTTCATCATTTACAAAATCACAATCTTCCAAGTCACGTAATAAATCTGCAATTTCATATCGTGGTCTCCAATAATCTTTAGCCTCTAATAGTGGTGGACCATTTTCCCAACGAAGTTTGGCTATGCGTTGTAGTTGTGGAAATAAATTGTTTGGATCATAAATGACGCGACCGAATGTGTAACAACGTAAATGAATTCCATTCGGATCACTTGTAAGCAGATGGTATATGTGAATTGGTGGATGAATGAACATTTCAACCTTTTTTTTTTTTAAAAAAAAAATAATATATATATATATAGAGAGAGAGAGAGAAAAATTTTCAAATCAATATCAATGTATTTTTTTAATTATAAAAGAAATGATATTTTACCTCTAATCCATCAATTAAAATATTTCTTCTACATTTTCTTTCACTTTTGATAAGAACGTCAACATCAACATCACTAAATAACAAATTACGTATCATATAATGAATTAATAAAAATAAGAGTGTAGTACGATATTTTTGATTTTTTATTTGTCTAAAAAATTAACCTAACCGAAATAGGATTTCAAAGGAAGTTTCCAAAATATTTTTATTTTTTCCATGATTTTTATTATTATTTATTATAATAATTTTTTAAAAACTGTACCGATAAAGTAGATCTCATTCATAATGTTTGTTACAAATAACTTAAAATGTCGATCTCACCTGTGGGGACAAGCGTTTCCATAAATTCTGGAACCATAAGCAAATAATCCAAGAAGTTCGTCTCCGAATTCTAAACAAAAAAAAAAAAATAAAAAAATAAAATAAATATTAAATTAAATAAAGAATATATATATGTATCAAGGGTGGTTTAACTATTTTAATCGTAAGAACGAAATCTTGAGTTATACTTAAAAGTTTAACACCAACCTTGTGTTAAATTCACTAGTATTTTCGCGTAGATGCAATCGGTATTTATAAATTTTCCAGTTAGAGATGCCGATGAAGAAACAGAAGGTTGAGACTGTTTCGAAGGCATAGAGAAAAGTCCTACAATGGGTGAAAGATATTTTGAGGAAGAATTGCCAAAAATTGGAGACATGTAGAAATATAATGAGGAGAGGATAGAGAGAAAAAGGGAAGGAAAAAAAAAATTAATTAAAAAGATATAAAATGTGGGGTTAAATTTACAGTACATATGGGGAAAGGAGAGTGATGATTTGCGAGACAATTTAGAACGGAGCATCAAAGACTGTGAAAATATCGTGAAAGTTCAGATTAATTATACCAGAAACAGACAATGTGGCTTAATTCGCGCCACAGTTCTACCTAAGGAGTAAAAATCATCGGTTAACAGTTTCTTGCCCCTGGTTTGACCATCCCATCTTTGTAATATCTGGAAATTTATCTATAGATACGAATCAAGCACGAGATTATGATTGTTTGAGATATTATTATTCGAATTAAAATTTTGCGCAGTAAGTTAATAATAAAATGACGAATACGTACGTATTAACATTGACGCGGTAAATGTACATACATCATAACGAAATCATTGAAATAATTGGCGCAAATAAAAAAGTAAAAAAAAAAAAAGGGAAAAATCATAATAAGAGTTAGTACAATATGAATCGTAGATAACATTTTTGGAGCTAATATGAACTTTTTTATTCTATTTACCAATAATTAAAAGAGAACCTGATTTCTCGAAAAAGCTTCGTGTTAAATATTAATTAGTATTTTTTTGGTTCATTTAGATGCATATTAATGTGCATAAATGCGTATGTATGCGTATAGATGCTTATGAATGCGTATAAATGAGGTATTTAACGCACATACATAGCATATTTGTTACATCACGCGGTATAGAAACTTCGAAAAGTTGGTACAATGTATAATCTATTATATAATAGTATAGTATTTATTTTATATAATACAAAAATAATGTTTGGCTATTTAGCTATTTAGCTATTTAAACAAAATCAATAAGGTGAACAGAACAATAGTCGTATTTAAAGCTTGCCAAGTTGACATCTATACCGCTAATATTTACAGAACTATCATAATAAAGCATTATAAAGAAATGAAACTAGTAGATCTTGGTAGATAATGACCATAAAGAATAGATTATTCACCTCGAAGCGATGGGTCACGAATATTATAAATTTCGTAGATATTTGAACGAGTAAATACAATTTCAGAGTTTTCTGCGGCTCGACGGTATAATCGAGAAAAATCACGAGGATAACTATATTGATAGTGAGGATCTTGATGTGGTTTGATCACCAAGTTCACTAAGTTTTTTTTTTTTGACAATCAACGAAAGTGAAAAAAAAAAAAAAAAAAGTAATAAAAAGTAAAAAAATGATTGAAAAATTTTTATAAAGAATCTTACTCTGTAAATTATTATCAAACTTTGCATTAATTGGTAAGGCAAGGATTAATACAATTATAAGGGCAGTCACCAACAATACAAAAAACTTAAATTTCATAATCTTTCTCGGTATAATTTTTAGAAAAAATTTCACAGACATTGTTTTTCGCAACTAGCGAAAAAAGTTGCTGTTAGAGGAGAATCATCGTGGGAAAATGCAATTGCATACAGTATCGTAAACGTATATTTACCTTCTTTTATAAAAAAACAATGAAAAGGTTTTCAAAAAAAAGAGAATAATATGGAAAATAAAAGAAAGGCAAAATTATCAAAATAGCAAAATAGATGGGAATTGGGACAACAATTAAAATTTAAAATAATATTATCTTAAATAAGAACTGTCTTGATCAAAAAATTTTTTTATTTTACATATACTGCATATAGATGCATAAGTCAGATGCATAAGCCTGTAAGTAGCGGTAGGAAAAAAAAAAAACATTCAGGGAATGTGTAACATAATGATGCATCATTCAGTAATACGAGTCTTTTCCAAAGATGATACTTCAAATCAAAAGAAGTATAACCAAACTTAAAGGTCAAACGTCATATAGAATAATATTGTTAGAGACGTATGCATCTCGGCGCTTAGTCTTATTCCACTAAACCTTAGAAATGTAAAGGATGAAATTCTTAAAAAAAGAAAGGTGAACTCTACATATATGCATACTTTCAATGATTTCTCAAATCAAACGCACTGATCGTGTTTAATTCGCGATTCAAAAAAACAAAGACAATTTCAAGGATTTTAACAAATAATCTACCCCAAACCCCAAAAAATATATGTATATAATAATAAAAACGTCCAAAAGCCAGAAAAATACGTACGTATATAATATATAATATATATAAAAGAGATAAAAGGAATATATATATATATAAATAAAAGATATAAAAGGAATATACATATATATACATATATATATATATGTGTGTATATATATATACAGCATATAACGATTATCTGTATATTAATTTCGAGTGATCGTGATCCAATTAGAATCAGTAATAGCATTGAACTCTTGGCTCAATCCCCAAGCGGAAAGATTATTATTCACATCACTATAAGAAATTCCATGAGACTCAGAAATCGTAATTTGTTCCAATCTTTCACATTTTAAAATAGCGTTCAAAGAATTTATCGAAATCCTTGAAAAATCAATTTCATTCAAATGTAGGTTTTTCAATTCTCTCCGAGAACTTAGCTCGCTGATATATCTTTGAGCACTAGCAGTCCGACAACTTAAGATAAATGTAGATAGATGTTCTTGTGCACTAATAATGCTAGTTAATGACGAAGTAGTTGCATCGTCAGTGTCATTGTCGGAAAAATCGAAGGCAATTTCTCGGAGGTTCGAACATAACTCTGGTAATTTATCGATAAATTCACGAATGTTTACTTTTATCAGTGTATCCTTTAATACAAGGTGAAAAGAGCGTAGATTAGATAATCCTGGTTGACTTGAAGAGAAAATGTATGATTCCGGAAGATCTGGCTCGTCTCCAGAAATCAATAGAGACAAACTTTGGAGATTATTTGTTCGCATCAGCATTTTAATGATAGAAGAAACCATTAAGGACACAATCCTTAATTCGCCACATTCGCAGAAGCGTTTTTGAGCAGCTAACAGTTTTATGCAGGCAACGTATAAGTCGTGCAGGTCGAGCCTCACTAAATGCGATGCACATTTTGGACGAGGTTGGGTAGGAGGCAAATTGACCATCAATGGTATGAGAATTTTCTGTTCTTCCTCGTTCAATTCGTTGAGGTATTTTTTGACTACAGATTCACGTGTTAGGAGAGGGTTTCTCCATATCATGGGTAAAACAAGATTATGAAATAATTTGTTGACCAACAACACATTATAAAGACTCTTATTGTCTTTGACGAAGGTTAAAATTTGACGAATGCATTCTTCTGGTAATTCAGTAAGATTTTTACTGTCAGGGCTCATCATATTTGAAGTTTTTTTTTTATTTTATTTTTTATTTTTTTTGCCTGCATGCGTTTGGGGGAGTTTTTTTTTCCCTGTGTGTTTTGGGAATTTTTGATGCTTAAATTTAAAAAAAAAGGATTAAAGTTTATGTTACAATGTTTATTATTCGTATTCCCTCCATATCGACTGCCTTAAACTGACAATACCCGAGCCTTTACATTCCACCAATTTTAAACTTATAATAGACCCTAGGTATAGCAGATGGTTGACAGGCAATATTATTAAAAGGAAAATTCAAGAGTATGCATATTTCTTATTTATAACAGGCAATCTAGACGTTTAAAAAAAAAAAAAAAAAAAAACTGAATTTAGTCATTATAGATTCCACGGTTCGCACGCGAGTATGTTACATAGCGAGTTTACTATCATATGAGTTTTATTGTACAAATTTTTTTTTTCGACGTTTTCAACGTTTACAGCTATCTCGCATTCTAAAAGTTGACGCATATTGACTAATTAGAAAAGATGAGTTCTAATATGACCCTTCTTTTACGACTAGATTACAATTGGAAGAGAGTGTCAGTATATGTTATCTCGTAATCTAAAATCATGTGTCAAGGCTGACTGACGGTTTTTTTTTTTTGTCGTTATGTTTGATACACCTGGTGCGACTGACTATATGCAACTAATGTTTATAAATTTTAAACTTTATAAATTTTCACTGAAAGATCTACATTTATATACCAGTATATATTATATATACATGTATGTATATAATATATTTATATTTACAGTATTTACATTTATGTGTGTGTAATCAAATTATTAAACGTCTTTTTCTCTAATAATCCCTAATAATCTCTAATAATCGCCAAGATTTTTTTACTACAGTATTACACTAAATTGGTACGTATAAAAACTTAACCAGTATTCTAGGAAAAAAATTTTAGGTGAAGCAATATTTAAGCATAATTACAAATTTAAATTTTAATAAACATATGAAGATTAATTTACAAAATCATCAATCATACTGGTTTCCCGATATGGCTTATCTCAAACTTGGAGAAAAAATCGATTTTTCATTTTTCCAAATCCTATTTAATATACCAAAACCAAAATAACTTTAGCTATTCCCGCCTTTTAACTTTTTTTCTTCTTTTTTATGAAATATTATTTACTGTATACTGTATGAATGAATATCTGTCTATTGATAATCTATCGCTATTGTTAAGTTTATTAATAAGTCTATTGAATATTGATAATTCTATTGATAAATCTATTGACAAGTCTATTGATAATTTTTATTCCTGCATTTATAAAATCATGTTTCATGTGAATGTTAAAAAAGAAGTATTTTGACTGTTAAATTCTTTGAATTTGAAATTATTCTAAATATTTATTCCACTTGACAAAGCCAAACGCATGCTCATCCGGACTTTCCGTTACCTAATGTTACCTATTGGTTCGAGACTTTTTCATATATCGATATCGTGTAATGCTTTGTTACATGCGCTATCTCTACTGTTTTGATTTTGAATGACTATTTTTACTATTGATTTACTACACTATTTATTACTATACTATATATTGATTTACTGATAAAATATTATAAAAAAAAATAAAAAAATACTGGAAAAACGTTATTTGTTAAAAATGTTACCTAAAAATGTTCAGTTGAACAACTTTAATATAATGTATCAGTGTAACTAATAAACGGTATACCGTTTATATTGTAACAAGTACTGGATCCAGTCAAATGGCTGGACACCGCACTAAATAAAAAACGTAATTAATAACAAATTTGATGAGTTAGAAATTCTCAATGACTCATTTGTAACAAATAGTTTGAATAGTTTGATAGGCATGAATCTATTACGCAATGCATTGCGTAATTCAGAATTTTATATGAACAGTGAACAAAAGATGCTAACGCCAAGGCAGTTTACTTTCGGACATCACGTGATATAGAGGTTCGACGCTAAATTTAATGAATCGTTGAAAACCTTCTACACATTGTATTACCGAAGACTATCGCTATCGTTATTATACTCGCTGTTTTTGAAAAATGCAAACAGGCTGGTGAACAGGTTTGTTAAGTATTTCGACAGTAATCCAGTCCCAGTCAAAAATTCTTTATTCCTTTATCGTACGTACGTACGTACGTACGTACTTGGTTTTGTCATTGTCATTATCGTTTTTGAATATTTGAAAATATGAACGTACATACGACTTTATCAGGAGTGCATAATCTTGAATTACACATTTTACTAATAAGGATTCTGCATCTGGTGTAGGAAGTTTGTCAAACGCCTTGACATTAAACCCCAACATTGTTAAACAAAGTTAAACCCTATTTAACATACGATCGATGATTCGACCAGGTTCAAGTCCCTACGTCAGATACCCAAAAGGATATCTGACTCTGATAAGTATTTCAAGAGAATGTTGCGAGCTCCATTGAAATCTCCATTCAAATCTCCATTGTGATTTTACATGAAACGCAAGATGATCTTTTAGCTCCTTGTATATTATTTCTAAAATCGCAATTACCACACGTTTGATTAGTATACTCTTCACTTACAAACGATATTTCATAAACTCTAAAGTGATAATTCAACATGGCACGAGCCGTTTTACTGTGAATATTTCTATTCTTTCTTTTGACCATATTTGAAGTACCGAATTTAGGGTTTAATATCGTTTCATAATGATTCAGTAACCATCAAAAAAATTTATTTTAACTAAATATTAACAAAAGATATATAATACAAATACTAGGTAATATATGTATTTAAACATATTGACTAACAATATATTAAACTGCATATATTACCTAGTAAATATATAGAAGTAAGTTAATATTTGTACTATATATTACTGGTTATTAGTTAAAATATAATTTTTTTTACCAGTGCATTTTACTAGTTTATAATGTATTTTATTTCTTTGGTTTCTAATTTTTAATACTATTCGTTATATATATATTTTTTTCCTCAAAACTATATTTTTTATCTTTTTTTGGTGGCTAAATCATTTTTGAATTTATCACACCGCTTGCATAATCTAAATATCTTTCATAATCTTTACTACCCCATTTTACGACATGATCTCTCAGATTAAAGCATGTGGCAAATGTTCTTCCATCAGGATTAATACAGTCAGAACTCCGCATTTAGGGGGGTTGCAATTAGAGAATAACCAATAATATTTCAGTATTATCATAATCACATATTCTATTAATATATTTAACATTAATTTATAATTAACTTTATTTTTTACTATATAAATGTTACTTGTGCTTCTAATAAAATTTGTTGAGGAAGTCTTTACGATTCTAATAATAATAAAAATGTTAAAATCGACCCAATATTTCTCAAAATATGAATAATAAAAATATCTTCGCGATTATATAAAATTTTTTTATAAAATACAGTATCAAGAAATATTGGGCTGATTTTAGTGTTTTATTATCATTAGAATCATAAAGATCTTCTTTACAACTTTTATTAAAAGCTTAAGAAATGTTTATTTATCATATTTTATATAAATTATAAAGTATAAATAAAAGGCAAAAAGACAATAGAGACTCGTCTCCATGGCGACCCTACATATAGCAGCCAATCATATTTAGGGTTCAAAAATTTTCTTTTGTATTTTTTTATTATAAAAGTTATAAAATTTGTAAAAATTTTTATTAGACGATAATAAGCAATATATTATATAGTCACATGCTCAATTTTGATTGGCTATTCATATAAGGTCGCTATGGTGACCTGTCACCATAAACTAATGCCTATAATTTAATTAACTAACTATTTTTAAAAGCTAATTATCTTTGTATATTTTGTATAACTTTATTTTTTACTTAGGCAGATTATATCAATGACTATATTTAATAAAGCACAGTTTTGTGAAAGACCTCAGAATTACAAACTATTATCTATAACTTTTAATATTAAATTTACTATCCTAATATTCTACAACTACTTTATTATAACTAAATATTATCTGAGCACTCATAGATAACACTGCTATACTGATAAGATACAATTAATTAAGATAATATTCTAATCAAGAACTTATCTATTTATTGCTCTATAATAGAATATCACAAATCTAATGATATCTTGTAGAAAAGTAAAAAAAAAAATAATAATTTAAAAAAAAATACAAAGATATAAGGAAAAATATTAAAATATACAATTAAAAAATAAAGGAAGTAAGAGAAGAACGAAAAAGACTAAATTAAATATAGAGATTTTCACCTGCACCTAGAATAAGAGACAGATAAATTTTTAGACATGTATAGAAGAATATGCCTTAGATTGGAAATATGCACTTTCATTCCTAGGCATGTGCTCTTGATATATTCAACTGATCAGAAAGCAACAAATATATAATTATTCATTAACTTCTTACCTCTTATTAGATTTTACAAAAAATATTACTTTACAGCAACAGTACTAGAGTTTTTTTAGTAAGCAAAAAAATAATATACCAATAATAGTTAAATAAGTTTTCAAGCCATCTACTAATTTTATAATCTTAAGTATATCCTCAAATATTGTATTTAATATTCCTGTATTTTTTATAGTAAATATAAAGATATTTAGTTATATAATATATCCAGATAAGATCTTTATATAAGATGCAAAGCTGCATAGTTAAACCTTATTTTCAAGATTTATATAATGCTAATATTAGTGATTTGGTATAGAATTTAAAAGAATTTATAAAGCTTTACTATATATATTTTAAAAATTATATGAAAATGGTTTATCAAAGCACTGATTATTTATTCATTTAGATAAGTATAAAATATTTCTTACTCAAAATATTTAATATAATGTTACAGAGTAACTTTATAATGTTATATTAATAGTTTTGTAAAACAATACTTTATAATTTATAGTTTATATTTTAGATATAATTCTTGTTAAATTTGTATTGTATTAGAAT